AATGTTAGCACTCACTTAAGATATGATGAAAGCCTTGAATTTAATACACAACGGGAACGAAGCAGATGTCTTAACTGTTTTGGTTTGACTATTTACGTCTACCTCTTGTAAGCAAGGTGATCTCCACAGCAAGGTTCAATTTGTTCTATTACGTAACAAGCTCTGCTTTGTGTATGTTTGGGCAATAGATAAAACCTCTTCGCATGCTACAAAACCGGTTTTTGTTTATATAGAAAACGAAAAAAATGCCTTTATAAGGACGCTTTATACTTTGGCCTTATAACCGGTAAAAAGTTACCTTAGCTATATCACAAATTGATTCGTTGTTCATTCCTGTGGTCACGTAATAAAAACTGTTGGAAAGTTTCCCCAGACGTGTGTTGGCCATACAAGGCAATAATTTTACTTTCGTTACTTGTAACGAAAGTAAAAGTAAGAAGTACGTACTTTTGCTTGCACTTTTTTACTTTTTAAATTAAGTACATTTACTTGTACTTCGTTACTTTTTAAAATTAGTAAGCTAATTTATTTCATCTTTACTTTCGGGAGAAAGTACAAGTTCTTGTAACGAGAATGTCGAAAGAATTCGATACTTTTTTTTTCTGAAAATTTCCTTTCAAAAATTATTTTTTGTAATTGTTGAAATTTATTATTTTTTTAATTTATAAGTTTAATATATAATAATGATAATAAATTTAATATATTCTATATATTCTCTTACATCCAACGTATTTTTCCAAAAATCTTTAAGGATTGCAATTTCCCGAAAGGGAGTGGAAGGCTGGTGAGAGGGAACGTGAAGCCCTTACTTAATGTATGTGATTACAATATATGAATACAATTCAAACCATTTTAGTAAAGATAATAATATAAAAAAATGAAAAAATTTATCGAATTAAGTGTTTCGAATAATCTTGGCATCGGTGACCCTCGTGGACCTACAAACAAAGTCAGTGCCGATCACCGGTGACCCAGATGGTTTTCAGCGTGTTAATGAAATTTACGATTTCTTTAAATTTTGGATATCCTCGAAATGTACCTTTACGAAATGTATCCTTTCTTTGTTTCGTACTTGCACTTTTTGCTCGTTAGATTCTAAAATCAAAACCTTTTACTTTTTACTCGCCACTCTTTCTGAAAGTACTTATACTTTTACTCGTTACTTTTTAAAAGTAACGTTCCCATGATTGGTGCAAGTTGTCATCGTTTTAAAGAAATGATTTATATCATATCTTAATATATACCTCAATATTCACCAAATCCGTGTTATTGCTTGCTCAGTTACTTTTGTCAAGATAGTGTAAAATGCAACAGAGCTGCTAAACAATAAATTAACAATAAATATTAATAAGTGGTTACTTATTTAAGATTAGGAAAAAATAAATAACTCTACGTACCGAAAGGAAAAGAGATAATCGATACAATTATTGCAATGAGCATGATGAAGATGTTCTTACTGGTCTGGAATCAGTACGACAACTGAAACACTCTTATATACTCAAATTATCTAACTTGAAACATATTTCAAGCCTTTTAAAGCAAAATGGTGTATGTCAAGTATGTCAAAAATGGTGTATGTCAAATATGGTTGAGCATCAGATTTTTTCTTTTTCTTTTGGATAAGAGAGAATTAAAATTTAATTGGCTGTGAAACGTTAAAGAACTAAAGCGATTAACAAAAAAATGTGTAAAATATTTTATTTAATTACAAGAAATTGATATAAAGTGTAGTTGATTAGAAAGATGTTACTTATTCCATTCTCTTTCGCACTGCCTTGAATCATTTATCTCTTAGATTATCGGATTTTTATGACACTTTTTAATGAAATGGAAAGACCTCGATATGGAGATAGTATCAGATTAGACAGCTCTGTTTTGTTTGAGTTTTACACATTTTTATTCTATTCAGATATCAATGATAAAGTATTTTATCACAATTTAAATATTTTTTAGATATCACTGTAGCATTGATTATCTTTCAATTATAACTATTTTCTTTCGAAGTAATTATGAACTATGGACTCTTTTTTATTAAAACTGTGAACAAAGATCTTATTCTACAGCAAAACGTAACTAAGACTCAATTTACATATTTTCTCTTTTTATTTGCAGAACGTAATGAATTTCAGGCAGTTATTTCAAAATTATTGAAAAAGCTCAAATTTTAGCAAATTAAAATTAATTTCGTTATATTGGACAAATTTTTAATTTCCTTTATCATAAGCTGTCTTATTTTAGTCGGAGAATAATCAGTGAAGTCCATATAAAGCAGCACTAACATTGTGCCATGGGNAGCTCAAATTTTAGCAAATTAAAATTAATTTCGTTATATTGGACAAATTTTTAATTTCTTTTATCATAAGCTGTCTTATTTTAGTCGGAGAATAATCAGTGAAGTCCATATAAAGCCGCACTAACATTGCGCCATAATTAGTCGTAAGGAAAAACACATTGTAAACCTATATTTACATTGATTAACTCACTCCCTGCTCAACCCAGACAGTAACAATGAATAGTTAAAAATAGAAGGAAACAGTGTCCCATGAAAATAATGCTGATTATACCCTAAATCAGGGGTTGCCAAACTTTTTTGATCATCGACCCCTACATAATTTTTCGAAATCTCCATCGACCCCCATAAAAGTAATTTTCTGTTAATTAGAATAAAACTCTATTAGATACTGTGTTTGTACATTTATTTTATGATTTTGAACATTTATTTAAGTAATAGTACATAGTGTAACAATAGTTTTATGAAACATATATTAATGTTGAAATATAAATACCTTAATATTTATGAAATAATAAGTAATTATAAGTAAGTAGAAATAATAAGTAAAGTAACTACGAATTTATTGCTGCTTAATCAATGACATGGGTGTGCCTGGGTTTTTTTTTCTGAAAGGTTCGTTATATTGGGTTCAAAATTGGTCAATTTTAATCTTAAATCCCTTCGAAACTCCACATTTAATTTATTTCTGTTCTTAGTTAAGATAGAATTTACGTGACTGAAACCGGCTTCAACCATATAGGAACTTGGAAATGCTATCATAAATGGCTGAGCTATTTCGTAAAGTCTTACATATTTTTGCATTATATTTATATTTGTCCAAAATTTGCTTATTGTTAAATTTTTAAAAAGCGTCTTTGCTTCAAATCCCCATAATAATTCAGCAAGCTCATCTTGCAGGTTGATGTCCACGTTTTCAATTTGAGAAGAAAATGGCACAATAACCCAATCAGAGATGTCAATGCTTTCCAAATCAACAAAACGTAGTTTAAAATCGTCGCTCAATTTTTGAAGATTACCTGTATATATTTCCAAGTCTTCTTCTTTTATTTCTAATTGTCAGATATCTGAAAAATACTGATAATCCTTCGAGCAATCGACCCCCTGGCTCAGATCGACCCCCGCTTATATTAAATAGACCCCAGGGGGTCTATATAGACCACTTTGGCGACCTCTGCCCTAAATCATTGTATTTTCAATTATGCTATGTTGCTTTATTGTTTACCAATGCCTGGAGAGTTGAAGCGTCTGCATCATGCCAGATTTCAATGATGGTACTTTACTTACTTTTACTTTACACACTTAGAAATTATATATATAGTAAATTTAAGACACTATATGCTAACGCATCGCATGCGGTCTAATATTTGCACTGATTTTCCAAAGAATATGATTCGGTTGTTATATATTAAAATTCAATGAATAAGTTAAACAAGCTCTTAGCAAAGCGAGCGCAAAATTAGTACTATAACTTCTATGTCTTTAAGAGAAAAAAATATGTAGAGTTATCCTATTACAAGCGTAACCACTTTCCAGAAAAAATTCGAAACTGTTAACTGGTGGAGAAATATCGAGAAAACAAATTGTTTACCTAATTACTTCTGATTAAGTATATATTTGTAAATTTAATATCTGTGTTCATATAATCCGCGAACGCTGTTGTTCTTGTACTTAATTGCTGCAAAACTTTCATGAACATTGTAAACAAAAGGAAATCTTTTTAATTGGGAACGAAAAATAACGCACTAAACTCAGCAGCAGCAAGAAATAATATAATTTATAAAAGGAACTGAAAGACGGGTAGGGTCATTCTATGACCCCAATAAATTATAAAACGTCTATTGAGGGAAGCAAAATGCCGAAAGTTCCTTCTAATTATTCACAAAAAGCTGTTAAGGACGGGAAACTCAGCTACTAATAAAAAAATGGATAGACAGGTATCTCGTTTTTTAAGAATATGAAGTTATAGAATGCTTGGGGTTTTAAAATAACCCCCACGCATCCTCTCGGGTTAAAAAAATGCCACCATTCCTACAAAGTTAGAGTAAAACATCGTGAACTTTTCATTTCGTGACAACAAAGTCTATTGTGGTATGATTGCAATCAACAAATTAGCTCGTTACTGTTAGGTCTTTGTACCATTGAAAAGCAATCTTAGCGACCTTAAACATCGTGCCTAGAAAGTAGAAGTTTGTTTTACATTAAAAAAAACAGTCATGTGAAAAAAACATGCATGTGGTAGCATGTGTTTTTTTTTCTATACTTGACATATCTTTAGGTCAACTACCCTTAAAAATTCACATCATTTAGATTTTAAAAATCTAAATATAAATATTATTATACTTAATACGTTATAGTAGATAAAACAATCTGGTTTCTACAAAATAATTCATATTATTAAAACACTTAAACTACAATTTCTTTCATTTGCGAAAAAAAAGAAAACATTTTACTAACTAGAATGCACCAATAATTCAAATTTATGCTATTAAGATCATTTAGGAAGTTATGGTTTCAAGTGTGGGTCCATAGTTTCCCCAAATTAAATTATTGGTAATTATTAGTTTACTACCACTTTCTCGAATCTTCCCCAGCAACCGACCAAGTTGGCAGCTGTGCAAGAGCGATGTTTTTTTTTTTAAATATTTTATCCTTTTGTTTGATTCAAATATGCATTTTATACCTTACATTCATAGAAAATATCTGTAGGTCACACAAAAGGCTTTAATTGCAGTAAAAGAACAATCATAAACCAACAGAAAAATTTTCGTTTTTTTTAATATTTTATATATTTTGTGCCTAAGTTTTTGTAATAAATTTCAAATATAAAAAAATGACATCAACTAATTTTCTTTTATTTTGTTTCATTCTTGTGGCCTTGGCAGTCTCTTAAGTATTCCTTTTTTACCATCTAGTAGGACGTAATCACCTATAAAGAAAATTACAGAAATAAAAACTATCTTAATACCATATACATACATATATACAGGGGAGGGACAAAATTATAGAAACTCTTCTATAGTAACTCTTTCTTTTGGCAACAAATATTTTGGAAGATTTTACATCACAAAACTATTGGGACTAGTTTGAAAGATTATGCTTGAAACTCTTAGAGATGATGTCAATACTGTTCATGCAAAATTCGAATTAAACAAAATGAGGAGAGCAAGTTATATAATAACTTCTTCCCAGTTTTAATACTCGCAATTTTCATATCATTCTTAGAATTGTTTTAGTTAATCACCTGGTGGCTCTCACTGATTCTTCCTATCTGACATGAGTCAAAAAAATAAAATAAAGACTTGACTAGGCATATAGTTTAGTATATGGATGGCAATATAGTTGCACGGTCAGTAGACCCACCTCTCACTCGGCTGCCCGCAGGTACTGGGTGGGTTGCTCTCCGGTGACAATAGTTTGTTGTATATGAACGGTAATAAAATGAAAAAGAAAACAACAGGCTATGTACAATCTTAACACTATTTACAATATTTCTGGGATAGTGTATACCATCTGATGAGAAAAACACTGTCAATGTGTTGTGTATAATATTTTCATATAGAGACGTGATAGTTCAGGTGATAAGAGCTTTCGAAGATATAGTTCGTTCACCAGGAGTTGGCACTTGGCTCCACCTCCTCCGACGCAGAGTTCATTTCATCGCGGGGAAGTCAGAGGAAAAACATTTCCCCGCATGAAATCGTGGTAACCTCTAATGCGTGCAAAGCCTCCACACGGTTTTTTATAGGTAGTTCAATCAGACCACTATGATGGCAAACCAGTTTACGAAAGAACCCTTTAATAGAAAATCTAGTAAAAATAAAAAAGTGGTAGCAAATATATGTCTAAAATTTTTTTAAATTTTTGACTATGATTAGTTTGTCTTATTTACTTGTCTACCACTACAGATTCAATTCTCAAATATATATGACAAATTCCTCTCAGTCACTTTTAAAATAGAATTTGGTTTCATGCGCTCAAACTGTTCACGTTTTAAATAGTCTGCGCAGACTACTTACAAGAAACCGTGTGGAGGNTACAATTGTTCTTTGGAACTGCTTGCCTTCGTGTGCTTCTGATGTTAAAGTTTTGTCATGTCGTCCATCAAAATAAAGGCCATATATAGTGGAATGATTTTCATTTGATTTTGAGACAATTTGTTTCTTGGGTTCAAAATAAGGTTATTCTACCTTTTTTGCAGAGCGCAAAATCCCGTCTGTTTCGATTGTGCATTGTGCAAGCAGTAAATGCGTATACAGTACCAAAATGCGTCGAAATTTCCAAAATTAGATGCCGATGAGGCGGCAGAAGATATCAATTTGTAATTCTAAAAATTTTTATAGTTGTTGTTTTTAAAATATTGTATCTTTTAAGTGCTACCTCAAACCGATCAACGAAATCTGTGGTTGGGTATTAATTTTTGCATTTTAATCATTATTAGTCAAATTTTTGGAGCTTTAGGCCCATTGAGGCAACAGAAGATATCATCCCAGAGTTTTAGGATTCCGCTCATTTTTTAATAATAGGAATTCACATCTTTTCCGCACTACCGCAAAAAGATTTAAGAAATTTCGATTTTTTCGATACGTCCTACTATACATCCAGGGTAACAGCGGGACTCCATCCTGCCACTTCCACGCTTAGCAAAGCGTTTGGCTGGCGATACAGCTAGACCAAGGATGCATCTGGTTTAACAATAGCAAATTGGCCTATCACATAAACCTTTGAATTAGTTAAGAGAAATTGTGGTGAGTAAAAACCCTATAAATCGAATTTTTTAAGCAATCAAGAATCGTCCATTTCAAGAATCGTACAGAAAAAGACAACAACTTGAAAATATTTATCCGCTGTCCGGAGCAAGTTGGCATCTCTATGTTTCGGTACAGATTTTCAAAACTTTTCAAGTAAGTCATGCGACTGTCTTGATTTTGATCTTTAAAACTTCCTGTAAGATATTTCTGAGCTTTAGCACTTTCTGAAAGATATTTTGCAGGAATTCATTGAAAGTTCTGTCCAATTTCGACAAAATTCTTACGGGAAGATTTTTGTAAGGTTTGTCACATTATGATTTTGATATACGGTTACATTTTTTACCACTAATGAAGTATTGAAACAATTTAGCACCAATTCTGAAGAATTATCCAATCAATAACTCAATTATATTAATTTATATAAATTATCGATTATATTAATTTGTATCTATTATATTAATTCATAATCAATTTATATTTGAACGAAGTGTAAGGGACACATTCGCGAAATAAACTGTTTTTAATTATTTTAATCTCACCTTTACTTTAAACGACCTCCATTATGTATAGTTAAGTTTTTTTTCTAAATTAAAATTTTAATTTTCTAATTCAAATATGTTTTTCACAAAATTTCTAAAACTTATATTAAGGAGGTGGGAGATTATAAAAGACCTTTTGCACCATGTGACATAAATAGTTTTCATGTGAATAAAATATACTAATTTTAAAGCTTAAGAGGCTCTAATTCAGAAAAAATATGAATGTTTCCCATCATAATTACCTGTTTTAAACTGTTTTGTAGCGCCATGAAGACCTACAATGCATGGAAGACCATATTCACGACTCACCACAGCACCTGTGACGAAATATGCCATAAATTTGCGTGTTACTTTAATGATATAAATCTATTAATTTATGCAATTCTTAAATGTGACATTAATCTATAGATTATCTAATTATATTTTATCTTATTGATTCAGGGATGTCACAATTGAAAAAAAAATATGTAGTGGTAGAGAATGATTGAAGATTTACACTAGTTCCTGCATACCAAAATATATCTATAAACTAAAATATTTTCATACAGATTATATAACTGTCCAACTTAGTTTCTAAATTTAAACCCTTAACCTTTCAAACAACTCCCCCTCCCTGAAACAATTGTTACCACTTTTTATGCTTTTTTCTCAGATGTGACCACCCTGCAAACAATTAGGACCTAGCGTCTTTTTTTTCTAAAAAAAATTTAGTTTCTACTTACAATGACTAAATCTTAACGGTTCAAGCCACTAAGGCTTTCACCTCTCAATGAAGAAACGCAGGTTCGAAACTCGGTTGTAGCTGGTTGGTACGGATTCTGCTACCGGCTCACACTAGCCACAGTGATGACGTAAAATATTCTCAGTGGCAGACACGGATCGTTATTTAAAGCCCCCCTATTGTCATGCTATTCATGGAATGTTTTCGTGTCTTTCCTCTCCATGTAACGAAATGCTAATGTGTTCCATCAAAAATTCCTTCACAAAGCAAAACATCTCCCAATACTTATGCAGGAATTCCTTTGTCTTCTGGTTTCGGTTCAAAATTACAAGACTACGAAGTTGAACATTGGTTGTGGCAAGCCCAAAATTGGATCCACTGTTCAACGACGGTTATAAAATCCTTATGATGTAAACCGTAGGAGCTCAGAGAAAAGAACATTCTCATCCCAATGAGATGACCCGAGTTCGAATCCCAACAAAGGCTGGTCGATACGTATTCCACACTGGCTAGAACCGACCACAGTGCTGACGTAAATTATCGTCACTGATAGACGGATCATGGGTTAGATTTCCCTTGACTTCCGACTAAATGTGTGATGTTTTCTTCTTTACGTAGCGCAAATGCTGATTAGTTCCGTCAAAAAAAATGTCCTCCTCGAAGGCAAATTTCTCCCTGTTTTCAATCTAAGAATTCTAATGTCTTTTGATTTGGGTTCAAAATTACAAGGCTGCGAAATTTTAGTTACCGTAAAATATCCTCATTGGAAGACGGATCATGGGTTAGAGTCCCAGGCTTGCCGAGTAAAGTTTTTATAATTTTCCTCTCCATGTAACGTAGGATTGGATTGGGAATGAGGATTAAGCTTCATCAAAAAGTCTCCCACGAAACTAAATTATCCAAACACTTGATTCAGGTGTTCCCTCGTCTTCTGCATTTAATTCAAAACTACAAGCCTACAGAGTTGAACATTGATAGTCGTAAACTTAGAACTATTCAGAATAAACTCAGAAAATGAATATATTTAAACATTGACATTTTACGTTATAAATATTTAAAAATAAAGTATTTGAAAGAGTGATAGCAAAACTTCGCCGTATTTAATTAGTTTCTAGTTCATTTGAGTGGCAATGGATTTCACCCGGATAAATATGTATTATCTTTTGACATGACTTTTCAAAATTGCAGCCAAACTACATCACACACTAATTAATCAATATATCACAGACTAACAGAAATTATCAACCACTTTTTTTAGTGAATTTTCATTGCTTTATATTAAACCTTTTTATGTGCTAAGTATATTAAAGCTCAAAGAGTTATAAGAGCTTAAATTGGTATATTACCATGAGAGATGAGTCCTCCCAGCTCAGTGACAACACCAGATATTATTGGGAAATAAGGACTCCATCCTATGTCTGTTCCGTAGGCGATTAAAATTTCTCCTGGCTAAAAATTTAAAAATATATTAAAGCAGCTATTTATTTAAACATTTCGCTTTATTTAAAAAGAACTGGGCACCTGGGCCGCGCAGCGGCCCCTATCCCATACATCGTGACATATATACATTGTGTTTAAAAACATTTTGAAATTTTGCTACATTGTGGTGATTTAAACATTTCAGTTTAAGAAATGCATATTTATGTAATATTTTGAAAGAAAATAATGGTTTTTGTTATTGATGTTTTTAATGCTACATGCCAACATAGCAAACTTACTTGGTGAAACTAAGCGAATTTACGGCTGAAGGTGAATATCTTGTTTTTTCAGTAGCGCTATCTATGGCCAAGAATACGACTTCAGAGATGATTTTCAATAATTAAAAAAATTTTAAACACAATATCAAACCATTTCTTTTTAATTAAAGAGAATGCAAGCCGTGGTGGTTCAGGCAATAGAACGCTCTCCTCCCAATGAGGTACGCCGGTTTCTAATCCCAGCGATGACAAGTCGATGTGAATTCCTCACCCGGCTCGCACCGACCACAGTGCCTACGAAAATTATTCTCAGTGGTGGATGGATCATGGGTTAGAGTACCTTTGTCCTCAGGCTAATAGCGGGTAGTCTTAGTGGTTTCCCTCTCCATGTAACGCAAATGCGACTTAGTTCCGTCTAAAATGTCCCCCAGGAAGGCACCTTTCTTCCAATGCTTGATCCAGGAAGTTCCCTTGTCTTCTGGATTTCGCTCAAAGTTACAAGGCTGCGGAGCTGAACATTGATAATCGTAAATTCAAAATTGTGTCAGCTGTTCAATGACAGTTGTAAAAAATAAAATGAAAAAAAAAGAGAATGCAAAGTCTCTGTATTTAAACATAGGGAGGAAAAAGTCAACGAAATATAGTATGGGATCGTTTTATGTAAAATTACGTAAAACTAACACTGGGGTAATTATTTTTAGGTTGCATGGGATATTTTTAAAGAATCCTAGACACTTTTGATTCTCTGATTTCAAATCTGCCATCAGTTTTTCTCTCCATTTTATAATTTACTTTTAAATTACATTTTTAAAATTTTCTTTTCAAAATATACAAGTTTACATATACGAGTTTATAACATGTAGTAGTATAAATGTTGCGACAGACCTGTAAGCAATTTAATGCACATCATATTCAAATTGAATAAAAATCCATGTCTGGAAATGTCGTCATACGCCACTAGGGGTGCTTTCTACCATGAACTGTTTTTCCATGTGCTTCTAATTATGTCATAGAAAGGAAGCACCCTTAGCAGCGTAATACGACATTTCTGGGCTTGTGTCTCGATTTAGTTTCAATTATGATATATAACCTAACGCTCCACGAAATTTGTTGCAACATTTAGGCGCCTCACTGTTAAGCATTACCTTTTTAACCTTTTCATATATAGTGAAAGAATTGAAGTCTTTGTGAAAGAAAGTGGAATGTGTCACTTATGAGAATCGATACATGACAGGCTTGGCTTGCTCGAAATAGAATGGAAAGTATAGTTGCTAACGTAACGAAATTAGCTGGGATTGGAACCCAGTTCACCTCATTGGAAGGCAAACACTGTTTCCCTCAAGCTATTAATTTTTCATTTGTTATTTTTATAACAGGTATTTGAATTTTCTCAGCAGTAAGCGAATCAAACAGCAATTTTGTTAACATTCATACTTTTTAAGCCAGTGATCGGATTTTGTAATATTCAGGGAGCTGACCTCACATCAGAAAGGTCCTGAGTACGAATCCCAGACAAGACATGGATGTATTTTTATTCTCTGTACTATCTGTTCTTACTGTGGGAGCATTGATCTACCTAATATGGTGGCGCTTAAAGAATGGGCAATAAATCTTCCCTACTAATGCCTGAATGATTAGCGTCAATCGGGTAATAATTGGAAGAAAAGTAATTTTTAAACCTACAACCGGTAAAGAATATTGCTCTAAAGTAAATATATATATATAAAAAAACGATTTTGAAAATGTTTCTTAAAAACAATTTTTCAAGGGCTTGAAATACAAATTCATTATTCATTCGCCTTCATTATTCATTCATTATTCATTCGCCTCTACAAACCTGCAAATGAGCTGCTTCGTCCAAAGATACAGCAACTCTAGCATATCCTTTTACAACACCTTGACTCACAGGAATACCTAGGAAGGAATTGGAAACCAATAAATTTCAAATAGGCAAATTCAATAAGACATTAATTTATTGCAAACTACTGTTGTTGTTGTTTTCTAGTGCGACTCGCCAATGCCAGCAAGCCTGTTTGGGAAAGCAAGCAAATTTAAGGCCGAGGGTGCCTTTCTTGCTTTTCAGTGGCCCCATTTATGACCAAGAATACGATTTCAGTCGCACACATATGTCAATTCCCGTTTAAAAAGGCGATCACATTCATGCACCCATTCATTCTTCCACAGATCATAATTTTAACCTAAGCCAGAGAATGAGCAATTTGTTACCTGAACTTGGAGTACTTTGTGACCCTGACAAATTGAATGTGCACCAATCGCCATTTAATACACGGTTTTTCTTCGACCGAAGGGATTCGAACTTCATTTCTCACGAACATGAGTCCAACCTCCTACCAGCCAGTCTATCCCAACCCTACTAATTCAGAGATGCCAACGTGCTTCACTTTGTAAAAAAATGTTTTTAGTGGTAACGGAATTTAAGTTGTTTTTAGGTTAGTATTTTTCTTTTAAATAATTTTTCCACCACTACATATCAAAAAATAATACATACCAGGCCATCTCGGCCCCAACATTTTGTTTGTTGCACTCATTACCTTATTTATAAGAATATAGCCGACCATCATTTCAGTTCTTGTTATTATTTATATCATTTTATATGCCACCAGCAAAATATGTATCACATATTATTTAGTTATCTAAAGATCTCTTAGCTTCTGTACCGCTAAAGGTGGCTGTAAAAAACTCACCGAATCGCAGTGAGCGAATTTGGTACCCCAGAAACAACATGTCACCTCAACGGTCTGTATAGGGAATGTCGATGGGCAGTGAAGAACATAGAATAACATCAGTGTAAAGTATACTAGACAAATGTATACCGGCCAGTCGCACTTTACCTTTAGGGGAGTTCTTATGGCATATATATATAATGCTAAAACTGATCTTTTTCTGTGTACCTTTTCTAAGTAACTACTTATGATATCGCTTTGAAATTGTTTAGGGATAGAGATTATATCAGTTGCATGCTGTGATAATGTTTTAGCGTTAACTGGAATACTTTTTGAGTTATGAAAGATTTTTAGTGAAAAGTTCTCTGCTCATAATTTTTTTTTAAAATTTCTTTTTAAAATATCTATTAACATTTATCATAGTGTAACCATGTATATGTAAATATTCCTTGAGAAAAAAAATTTAAACTATATCTTGTTTAAATGCTGAGAAAAGATTCATCGACAATGGTCAGTTTTAGCATTATTGGTATATGCCTAACCAACTCCCCTTAAAAAGCATCAGTATATGGTGAACAGTAGCATTTCACCTAAAAAAACATAGTAAGGTAAACCAGACAAAGGCAATCATACTTTTCGATTAATTTTATTTTTATATTTTATAACCGTCGTTGAACAGCCGACCCAGTCTCGGGTATACAACTACTAATGTTCAACTCCCTGTCTTTGCAATTTTGAACCAATCCAGGAGACAGGGAAACTCCTGGATCAGCATCCCCACAGGTATGATTTGTTATTGGAACAAGGAGGAATTTGTGACTCGACAGATTTAACGTGCATCAGTCACCATTTACTACACGTTGAGTCTTCGGCCGGAGTTGATCGAATCCACGACTCCTCGAGCATGGGCCCGGCCCTCCCTTGATTATTTACATCATTAAAAATAATAAACAGTGATTATTATTAATTGATTAACATGTGCGGTGTTTGATTGGGCGAAAGAAATATAGAGCTCCGACAATGGTCCCGTTTAACGGAAGAACACCGATCATTCTTTAACAATGAAGAGCCAAGCATCACACTTTAGACTTATGTGATTTTAACAGCGGATTTTATTTTTATTTTTAAAATGGCAGAAAAACGTATACGATAATATTTTTATTATGATTTAACCAAGCTGATTTTGACCATCAATAAACGTTAATAATTTAAATAAATAGTAATAACAGTTGAGAGTAAAATCAATGAAGGCATATCAGTATCGAGGCTAGCAGGGCAGCCAAAAGGCGACTAAAAATGTAAAAATTGGTGATTGGTGAAAAATGAATTTACCATTCAACGATGGTGAAAAATGACAAAAATCGTAAAATTCTTTTAAACGTGATTAAGATTGGCAACTTTTCCTAACAAATTTCTTTTAGTTTATTATTGAAATTTCATGTAGAGAATGTTATAGAACGTAAATAATTTGCATTGTGATAGTTTGCGATGTATAAATAAATAAAGATGAATTTAGTTTCTACCACTACTTACAATTTTAGTCCCAAGTGTCATGCTCAGATGAAATGAAACGAAGAATAATTTATTGGAATTTACCTTTAAACAAACTTATTTATCTATTTATTTTTAAGAAATGTTAGAGGAAATTCTCTGAAATAATAACTATTTAAGAAAGAACTAAAACATATTTTTTTTCTCAAAATATTCTGTTTTAATTCTCTATTACTCAAAATAACCGCATGAAGCAAACCGTAAGAGTTTCAGATACTTAGTTTTTTTTTCTTTTAAATATAATTTGAAATTAATCAATTGAAAATATCAGGGTAAATGTAAAGCAAGTTCAGAAATTTTTTTTAAAAAAAATACTGTTTTAAATCGCTATTACTCGGTAAAACCGAACGAGAAAAAAAATTAAAAGTTTTCACACACACTACGGAAAGTGGCTATAAATGTATTAAAACTAACACCTTAGAGTGGTTTTCTAAAAATAAAATCATGATTTGTACACGTTTATGCATTTACAAATTAGGCTTAACTCATTGACTCTAGTGTAATGCACCTACCTTGCATAGTTAAATCCGCTATGTATTCTGTTGTATCTGAAGATTCATCCTCTTCATTTACCTGAATAATCACAGTTGCATACAATTTATTAATTGGGTAAGAAATGGAATTTCCTAATCATTTAATTTTAAATCATTTCACTCTTCACTTTTTTAAACTATAAATAAATCCAAATTTGTTTGTTCTTAAATTCTAAATCTTAAATGTTCTGAGAAGTCAATTTAAAACGTGTTTATACTATGTGAAAAAATTACAGCAAGCTCAAGAGTTAGATGCAAAAGCTGTTTTCGAATTGGATCTTAAACTTTTCCATTCTTTGGTCCATATATGTGAACCTTCACTTCTTAGTTTCTAAAACCACGCTTTAAGAAAATTTACAGTTTTACTCTCACTGAAACATTCGCGAAATGACGTAAAATGCACTTTCTTGAAAACTATAGTCATTCTAAATATTATATAAATAAATTATTCTGAAAATATTTTTCTTCTTCCTTTGACTTAGTAGTTCAGTGATTTGTAAGAAGCGTTTGAATTTATTCTTTAATTAATATTTAAAAACAATACAGCCGAGAACATTACGCTAAAATTTAAATTTCGGCATACGGTATCAGAAGGTATGTATACTTTGATTACCGTATGGCGAAATTTATGACAGTGTAGTAGTCAAGAGAAATTTTAGAGTATTATAATATCTATGTCAGATATATCTTTTACCCCCAAGAAATAATAATGTTTTATATAATAAATGTTAAATTCCTTTCAATAATTATTTATTTTGCGTTAATATTAAAGCTGATATTTAAAGCAGTATTGCAATTTGATCAGAAAAAAACTTCATATTTTCTATTTAAATTCTTTTCCTTTTCTAAGTCAAATCTATTCATCATCGAATTTAAATAGACCATAATATAACAATATGCATGTTTGTCCCAGCTTTGGATGCAATTTAACATTTGAAATATTTATATTCTTGGATAATAGTTGCAAGACATTTGGTCCACGTATGTGCACCTAAAATTATTAGCCCAATGGCAGTATAATTCATATTATCTTTATCTTATTATTACAGTAAAATAGAAATTCGAAACTACAAAATATTATTTTGCTATGTTCCTTTATGCTTCTGTAGTGAAGAGGTTAAAGCCATATTTCTTTTATTTAAAGTCATATTTTTTAATATATATATATATATATATATNCATTTATAAATATATATATATATATATAAATAACGCTCTCTTGACTTAGACTGGACATTCATCCTGGTTTAGTTGAGTTTCTCTTACTATTTGGTATATTTTTATTTAGTTCTTTATTTTGTTTGTAAATAAAAATCGCCTCTTTTTTTCTAAAACTTGGTAAAATCAGTTGCTAGCAACAAAGTTATTCTATTTAGCATACAAATTATGTGAATTAAGAAAGCTTTTCATACATTAGATAATAACAAACTTAAAAAAAATCTTATTTGATAAATATTATTTGATTTATCTGACTTAAATCTAAGGAAAACAATAAATGAAAGACCATAATAAAAATTAAACATCATTGAATATATGATATAATTTTTATCATATTCTGGAATTTCAACTAAAAAGATAGAACAATTCATTGATAAAAATAGTGAATATTTTGTTGGTTCAATGTTTGAAGTTAATATAAGGGTACTTACTGGTTTTGGAAAACCCCTAATTATTTCAGGAAACTTGTATGCGTCTAATACTGGGAAGATTTTTCTTCGTTGATTCGCTCTAAAGAATGCATAAAATATATGTATACGTTTAATAATGCGTATTCATTGGTATAACTATATTCTACATTAATTAAGAGATGCTTTTTATTATTTTCATGGCTTTATTAAAACTAAGCTAATGTCATTGCAATACTATAATAAATGATATTCAGCATTACATACATGGCTGGTGCCGATCCAGAAAGAATAAATAAAATCGGTAGTAAAAAACTTACATTTCTACATTTTTAAGGGAAAAATTAACCGGTTGGAATATTATTATAACCTACACGTGAAATTGATGGTGAGCGACGTTTTAACTGTTAATACGTAAGGAGTTACTAACTGTTAAAAGGTTAATACTTAAGGCGGAAATCTCTCGAGAGTTCTTTGTTCCATATTAAAATGGTTGTTAATGGAGGTGGGTCGTTCTTAGACGTTAATTTCATTTACGTTAAACGTTATCGAACGTACATGATTTTTTGCAAACGATATTAATTTTAGTCAGTTCATTTTATTGGTGCGAAAATGTCTCATGTCTTGGCATCATGAAAACCGGTTCGATGAATAAAATTTATCGTCAATAGAAAAGATTCCTACTGATATAATTATGTGTAAACACTAATTTACTAATTATAACTGATCGAACTATTTTTATTTTGGCCCAATTGGAAAGTCTTAATGTCTTAATTCGGATCGTCCAAACTGCAGTGCAATTAAAAATGGGAACGATTTGTAATCGGTAAAATTTAAACGATGCAATTAGGTACAATTTACGCAACTTCCGTCCAATACGAAAACTGGAATTTAAACTCAAATAATCTTCCGTTATTTGGCAAAAAATATATTTATCTAATTGTTATATTAAAATGAAATTTCTAGTACCGCTATAGGATTATTAAAATTTTATTTACAATGCTATATATCGCTATTATTATACAGAGATGTAAACTTGCTCCGATTTGTAAAAAAATATTTTCTAGTAACAACGGAATTTAAGTTATCTTTAGTTTAGTATTTTTCATTTTATATAATTTTTTCACCACTAGATATCACGAAATTCAAAGTATCATATGACATGCATCTTTATTTAGTCGTGGTTACTCTTTAAAAGAGTGGGCTTAGTTATCATTATTCTGCAAGTTTCACTAGTTTATTCGCAACCAATTTATTAAAACCTCTTCAGAAAGCGGAGCAGCTGGCATCCTGGTTATACTGAATATGCAATTATAGTGCTATATACCTCTATGATTAAACAAAAATTGACTTTTTAATGCTATATACATTGGCAATACTATACAATGCAATATATATATAATGTTATGGTTACATTTAAGTTGAATTTATAGTGTTATATACCGTTATTATTAAAAAGAACATGTTTTTAGAGTTAATTAATATGAGTGAGCTAGCCTAACAGTCTCATCATTCCACTAAACGATCTATACGTGGAGACAGCGGGTTAGAATACTGCCAAAAGCCCTGATGATTGTTTTTATTGCTTTAAGGTTACATACTTTGCTTGTCTCTCAACTTGACAAGTGTTTAAAAGCTTTACATATACTTAGTAATAAATGCATATGTCTATATATGCTTAACAACAACTAAAAAAGTCAATAATGCTTCCATAATCCTAACATTTTGATTACGCATTGTTGGACCAGTTCCATATAATTCGTATAATCGAGATCCTGCTGTATATATATATATATATATATATATATATATATATGTGATAAAGTGTGGTAAACAGCTCATGTGTAATTTAAAAAGATAGCATAATATATAGTACCTCGCGATTATTTTGGGGTATCTTGTTTTTAAAAGTTCTCTGATTTCGTCCATCGTCATAAAGAATAGGAGATCTTTGTCAGGAATACGACCTTCAGATACCATTAGTTTTCCCAAATACTGATAACCTTTCCTCCAGTTATCGATGCTTTTGATTATTACGGACTGCAATAAAAAGATTGTAACTTTACTAACAATCAAAAATTTACTGCCACCAAGCAGGCTAGGCAGCCTATTGAAAATTACATTAAATATAAAAGGAAAATACAAAAAGTGTATCTGTTTTTTTGATGGAGCAAGGTGGGTACTATGTTTTTAAACAAAAACTTTCAAATAAAATAGAGAGGAATTTGAAGGAAAAAAAGAACATACTTTGCTGGCTTCTCTTGCCTGCACACCTTTTCGACAATTCGGAATAATAAATCTCAAACACAACCTGGAATAGAAAATGATTTTCATAATTTTTCAGATGTGTAAACTCTTGTTTAAAAATATATCACAAACTAATTTTGAATACCGAAATTACGAAGGATGTTAACTTCTTGTTCTTCGGCCTATTTTACGATATGACAAAATATAAGCTGAGACTGATATTTCAGTAGGAAAAAAAAGACCCAACATAGAATGATTATAGCATTTAACAAAAAATAATTCTGACCAAAACAGATGACCAGGACTGTTAGCATCATATGATTTTCGGGAGAATGTTTTCTAGTGGTAGCGTTAGTTATTGTTTTGACGTACTATTGTTTGTTTTAGAAATTCGATTTAAAGTTATTTTTATACCACTATGTGTTATAATGATTTACAAATGTATATGGAGTGAAAGTTTCTCCCAGTTCTCATGTGGTGAAACATTTAAGAAGGTAGTTTGAGATTTTAGTTGTCTACCACTCTATAAAATAGGACGTGGAAACCCTGCATTAATTAAGCAAAATATTTTTATGTGGTGAAAATAAATATTTGTCCAAATTTTGTTGATAAGATTTTTAAAAAGAGTTATAATATATTTCCCCTTTCAGTTAACGATAATGAAAAAGCATAAGTTCAGTTTGTTATTTAGAGAAAAAAAAAGGTCACAAAATGTTTTATTTATTTACATTGCCTAGTAAAGACCAAAACATGATTATAACCTAGAACAGAGAGTCTTGCGTCTAACTAATGCTTCCGTGCTAATTTTTGTGAATTATTGCAAGACCCTCGTATTTTACCATAACAACTTTTCTTTTATTTTTAGGATGGATTTCTTCTCCTGTGTTTACAAGAAAATGTCAGCTAACGCAAATGCAACTTGCAATAATTCTTATAAAAACACGAAAGAAAAAAACCTACTTCACTGTTAAGTGTCTGTTTACGCGAAGGCGATTTGCAACGATTCTCACAAAAACACAAAACGAAAAAACATACATCACTGTTAGTTGTCTGTTAACGCGAATGCAATCTGCTATAATTCTCACAAAAACACAAAAGGGAAAACATACTTCACTGTTAAGTGTCTGCTAACGCGAATGCAATTTGCAATAATTCTCACAAAAACACAAAACGAAAAAAAAAAAAAAACATATTAGCTAATTCTGCACCCAGGTCGCACCGACCAAGGTGCTGACGTGAAGTATCGCAGGTGGTAGACGGATCATTGGTTAGAGTCCCCTTGTCCTCAGATTAACCGTATGGATATAAGACTAATGCAAGTTTGTTCCATCAAAAAATCCTCCACGAAGCTCTTCCAGGGGAGTTCTCTTGTCCTCTGGATTAAGTTCAAAATTACAAGGCTACAGGAACATTGGTTGTCGTAAATTTAAAATTGGGTCAGCTGTATAACGATATTTATAAAACTACAGCGTTTTATGAGTCAAATATTATAAATATCATATGCACAAAAAAATTCTTAAGTTAGGCCTTTGAACTATTAAATTTAAATATTAATGAGTGAGAATCCAATCACTAGATCAAAAGTTATTAAGCCAATCCGGAGTTCATTCAATTCTACACAATATGTGCAATGGTTGTAAAATAGCAATTAAGTAAGAAGATATACAGTGGTGGCCAAAAGTGTGGACACTTTTTGAAAGTTTCATGTTTTTCAACTTTGTGTGCTTGTAGAGTATATTAATTTTCACTTAAATACAAACGTTTATATATCAAATTGTAGGTAATTTAATGTAGAATTTAATAATATATACAGTATTACAATATCTGTATTACAAAAAAAGTTATGCAATTAATAGTAAGATCTATCTTAGATTTGCATTTTTTTAAAGTGATACTTACACAATCAATACTTAGTAGGATAACCCTTATTTTTTAAGACAGCTTCACAGCGTCTTTTCATCGAGTGAACGAGTGTTTGGAGTTCATCTTTCGTAATCACATGGTGCCAAGAATCAATTATAGCTTCACTTAGTTGTCTTTTATTGGATGGACGTTTTTTTCGTACAAGAATTTTCAAACGTCGCCACAAATTTTCAATTGGATTGAGATCAGGGCTGTTTCCTGGCCATGGTAATATATCTATGCCTTTATTTTGAAACCATGCTTTGCATACTTTTGCTGTGTGGCATGGAGCTGAATCCTGCTGAAAAATAAATGGTGCGTTGTTGGGGAAGAGATCCCTGATGGAAGGTATCAATTTTGGTTTCAGGGCAGTTTCGATGTATTTTTTGGCATTCAGGATGCCATCAATCACTTGAATTCGGCCCACACCATCTGCAGATATACATGCCCAAATCATGACATTTGTTGGATTTTTAGTAGTTGCTTCAATGCAATCAGGATGAAGCGCTTCACCTACTCTACGTCTCACGTATTTTCTACCATCACTTCCAAAGAGCGATATTTTACTCTCATCACTCCAGATTACTTGCTTCCATTGATTTTCTGACCATTTAATGTGTTCTTTTGCCGACTTAACTCGTTTTTCGCGTTGCTTTTGATTTAAATATGGTTTTTTCCTTGGAATTCTAGCTTGTAGTCCAAATCCTGATAACCTTCTTCTTATTGTTCTTGAACTTACTGCAATACCAGCTGCATTCATTTCACATCTAATGGCATCTGATGACATTTTTCTATCTTGAAGGCATAGCCATTTAATTTTTCTATCGGTAGTAGCACTTGTGCATTTTTTTCGGCCTGATTTGGCATCCTGAATGCCAAAAAATACATCGAAACTGTCCTGAAACCAAAATTGATACCTTCCATCAGGGATCTCTTCCCCAACAACGCACCATTTATTTTTCAGCAGGATTCAGCTCCATGCCACACAGCAAAAGTATGCAAAGCATGCTTTCAAAATAAAGGCATAGATATATTACCATGGCCGGGAAACAGCCCTGATCTCAATCCAATTGAAAATTTGTGTCGACGTTCGAAAATTTTTGTACGAAAAAAACGTCCATCCAATAAAAGACAACTTATTGAAGCTATAATTGATTCTTGGCACCATGTGATTACGAAAGATGAACTCCAAACACTCGTTCACTCGATGAAAAGACGCTATGAAGCTGTCTTAAAAATTAAGGGTTATCCTACTAAGTATTGATTGTGTAAGTATCACTTTAAAAAAATGCAAATCTAAGGTAGATCTTACTATTAATTGCATAACCTTTTTTGTAATACAGATATTGTAATACTGTATTTATTATTAAATTTTACATTAAATTATCTTCAATTTGATATATAAACGTTTGTATGTGAAAATTAATATATTCTACAAGCACACAAAGTTGAAAAACATGAAACTTTCAAAAAGTGTCCCCACTTTTGGCCACCACTGTATATATATATATATATATATTAAATTTTATGATAGTAATTAATTTATGTCAAGGATAATTTTAGCACTATAATTAAATTTCATTCAAACGAAAATTCATTTTGTTTTGTAAATCCCATATTTCAACTTCTTGATAATTAATTAAAGTAAAGTTTTTAGAGATAGATATTCTATATTACAAACTCTTAAGTAAATATTTAGAATTTTAGTGAGATTTTTAGAATCGGGGAAGTTTAGATACCTGATATTTTTGAATTTATTCAAATTTTCAGGATATGTTCCACATGAAAAATTTTGACACGAGTTTTTAATTTTTGCGAATATATTTTTTCAATGTTTTGGGGAATCAAAACTAAAGATGATCTTGAAATTTAAAGAAAAAAAAACACATTGATTTACAATTATTCAACTGCTATATAGTAAAACCCTAAACTTTAAGATCTTTGATTTCTTCTCAAACTTTTAAAGGATTTTTAGTTTCGACTCTCAAAATTTAATAATATTTTTGCTTAACAAATGAAAAAAAACATGCGTGTAACAGTTTTGAATATGCTGAAAATTTCAACCGAATAATAAATGTCTAATGTCCTTGTCAGATTTGCCCGTTTTTTTTTTCCTCAAAAAATTCTAAAATTTAAAAAAAAATAGTACGTGGCAGTGACAAGGTCGATAGTCACTTGATAGTGAAAGAAAATCATTGATAGGCAGATTACAACTAGGTTATAATATTTAAATTTAAAACATTGCCCTACCTGTTTAAAATATTTAAGGGAACACGAAGCTCAGAGAATATTTTCGAATAGTCATCAACAGAATTTTTTATTTCTTCCTTAGCAAAGCTGGACAAAGTCTGAAAATGAAAAATAAATAAAATATTAAGTATAGCACAGAAAAATGTTTCTGAGATATTATGTGAAAGGGATAAAAGTACTCATTTTAGTTGAAACTGCAGCGAAGAAATTATTTGTTAACAGAAAATGATAAACACGTTTACTACTTCTCATTTAGATTTATGACAAAGTTGTGATATGTCAAAAATTCAATGGCAAAATTTGATATAGTTAGATATTTTACATTGAACAGACGTCGTGCGATATGTGAAATGTGTGATCCGTAAAAAATATGCTGCTCAGTGATTAAACCTAGATTTTTTTTGTTATCATGTTTTTTTATATCTTCCCTTTTTCTTTAATTTTTTTGCAATTTTTGAGTCCATAATAGAATGAATGAATTAAAATTGTCAAGTTCCTAAACGTCAACATTCACAACTGTATTTCATTTACTTACGTTTTTCGTTAGGTTTTTATTGCTAAGCTCCTCCTAAGCACTGAAATTAACACTTGTATACATGAGGAATTCTATGGACTATTTGTTCCGAATACACGAGTAATTTCTAATTATTTATGTAATTATATGAGTAATATCTAATTATTTATGTAAATATACGAGTAATTTCTAATTATTACGTTAATTGTATATTTATTAAATCGTTATGTGTATAATAATAATGAAATGTTTATAAATTAAATATTTCAGCATTCGTCGAAAATATTTAGAACTTTATTTTAAAAAAATGTACCAGCATACAAATTTAGAATTAAAAAAAAATTAGCATGGAATGAGCGAGGGAAACAATCTCAAGTGAAAAGTGAAAGTTGTTAGGCACTGCAAACAGGGAACGGGATACTTTAGTAAATTAATGAGATTTCTTAAAGAAAGTTTTTGTGTTTCATAAAAAAATTGAGTGAAATTTTTTGAATGAATTGAAAAATTAAAGAAAATTTTGTTTTTCATTACTCGTCTACCAACAAATTACTAAAAAAAAAATAGAAAAGTTAAAAAAGAGAAAGAAAAAAAGAAAAAGAATGTCTTGTTTCTTTCCTCATAATTCAGATACGCCGAAACCATGCTATCATACTTTAATACTTTGTCCAGAGAGCAGTTGTCCTTGTATACAATGCATAGGTATAGTAAATAATAATAGCTGTCAAATCGTTTTGCCTATATATATATATATATATATATGTAACATAAAAAGCTTCAATTAATCTTTTTATGTTAGTTTTTTTTATAAAACTTCATCCTAATTAATTATTCTAAACGAAATACTTTCTCACACTTTTAAAAGCCACATCCTGTTCTTAAATCTATTTTTGGCTCAAGTATGCATTTAATTAAGAGCAGGACATTTTTCCCTTTGCTCTTGTGTGGGAAACGTTCGATCCATTTCATAAACCAATAGCAACTACTAAGGTTTCCCTCTTTCCCTAAATTAAGACATTTTACGGATTTTACTTTGCAAGATTTTCCCTAACATATAACCAAGGAGCGCAACTTNATATATATATATATAACATGTAATATTGTACACACTATATATATAACATGTAATATAGTACATGGTATATGGTATATGTATACATGGTATAAAATGTTTCTATAAAATATAAGGTAAATATCATATTTCATTCTAGTGATTCTTCATTGGACAAAAAAGCATTGTATACAATTTGTATACAATGTTTAATATACTGCTCATACATTGTCTTTAATGCCTGAATAAAGTATAGCGGTGATTCTCCTATTTCATTCTAGTAATTCTTCGTTTGACAAAAAACGATAGGCATTGTATACACAATGTATACAATGCCTAATACATTGCTCATACATTGTCTTTAAGGCCGATATAATGCTTATGGTAACTCTCATATTTCATGCTTTGTCAAAAAACGAAAAAAAAACATTGTCGGTAAAATTTATATTGATTTATTTGCGAAAACAAATAAGTTATATTTTTAGCTTACTTGGAGAATTTTTATGAAGAGTTTTTGGTCTTGACCCCATGGAATTGTATAGATGTCAAACTGAAAGATCAATATAAGATAAATATCCTAAAAATGACATAAACAACATTATCTTAACATTAATCAACATTATCTTAAGGTTATAACATATGTTGTTATTGTTAAAATAATTCTTTAATAATTATAGCGATCAGCTTAATTTCTTTAATTAATTAATTTTTTTCATTGAGTTTCGAAAAAAAATTTGTCCCTCAAAATTGGTGATCGTTAGGTTCAATGAATTATGAAGGTAATGTTATTAAGTTTGTTATTAAGGTTTGGTGTAAAAAAATTTTGCATTTTATTTTTAAGTTAAATAATATATTTGTTCAGTTAAATAATATATTAGGTTCAGTTAAATAATATTTTAAAAAATTAAATTCTGGCAGTTGTTTAAAGCTTCATAAATTTTATAGTAACGAATGTATTTTAAAGTGTAGTTAATATCTTTATTTTGTGAAACACTAATACGAATGTTGTCACAAAATTAATAAAATTTCTTTTCTCTCATTGGCAACGAAGATCTAAAATAAATTGAGCTTAAAGCTGTGCGGAAACGAGAAGATAAAAACAAACTGTTTTTATACATGGTGTCACAAAAGTTTAGGGACACGTGGTTTTCTTCTGTAAGTAATAGTGTACGATAGGAGGCCTCTCTCATTTTTGACGATTTCTTAATATCAAGGTTAGCGTCAAAAATTAATGTATTTTTCTTACGCTTACATAAATCTTCTTAAATCAACTGAAACACATTAAATTCATAACTACGAGGGTTAAAATTTGAAACTAAATTAACATATGTAGAATAATAAACCAAGAACCTATCACATAACGTAATTAAAAACTACAATATAATAATTATTGATTTCTTTAAGTCAGGAACTAAAAGGGTAATTTTTTGGAAACAAAATTCATAACTATTACTGCCATCATCAATAAGTGCGAGAAACTCTTGAAAACTTTTCATAACTTCCTAATTCGTATCTTTCTTTGTAGGTATAATATTTCGTAGGAGTTGAAGTTCTATGTTAAATTAAAAACAAAAACTTACTTCTTTTAAGCATCTGTGACCATGTCTTTGAATAAATTGACGGTACAGTTCGCTTGCCAATGTATTCGAGGTGTTCAGCCATTTTTCTGCATCCTGAATAAGATTTATTAAATATCAAACAAAATTTTACACCCAAAAAACATTAATCGCATAAAATTATTTTAAAGTTGTTATATTTTCTATCACTATTTTTCTCCCTTTAAGGTTTCAACTTTATATAAATGTGTATTTATATGATCTAGTGGGGCACGCTAAATATGTCAGGGTCAGAAAGTCCTCCAAGTTTCCATGACAAATCAATACATCTTGGGGTACAGGATAGGAGACTAATAGTGCTCTGATTAATTTCCCCGGTTGGGCAACTATTTACAGGTAATATAAAATGGGTGGCACTCCCTAGGTAGCTGTAAGTTGCCTCCCCTCGCAGGTCGTGCGCTTGGCATTAGCCAAATAATCGTTACATTGAGTAATAAAATTTATTTATTGCTCAATATTTTTTTTTAAAAAAAAAGAGCTCTTCTTTGAAGTAAAAACAAAAAAAAAAGACTGGCATTACACCACCAAGTTTTACCAAAATTGTTATTTTTTAATGAAATTCATTTATCTAATATAACAAAATTACTTTTGATATTTCTATTATATTACTATCCCAAAATTTACTTAATTCAAAAGTACATAAATATGGATAGTTTAAAATATCCTTGTTATAAATATATGGCAAGCAGGATATAAAAATACCCAGCTCGCTTACAATATTAATAAAATTGACATTTCATTACAGTTTGAAATAATTTTCATAAAAGAACGTGAAAGTTGGCAAGTAACGATTGCACGCATTTTTTTCTTTAGAATATTTTTAAAAACACATACTTGTAAGCTCATGGCCTTAAATTTCTCTGCACCCAAATCCTTTTCAATTTGACGAGCCACTTTCTGAAGAAGAAAAATTACATGATGACTAAATTATATAGGGAAATATTTATTACATTGATATTATCACTACGTATATGATATGTATGATATGACAGGTAGCGTGAATATACATTCTGTACGACAAAAATTACGATTAAAGATATTTGAATTAATCAAGATTTTTTATTTTCTTTAAACCACCTTTTTTCTACACTGGTGGACAAAATTAAGAGATGGAAAGCATTTTCGCACATTCATTTGCACATGCAAGATACCCGCACACCGTTCCATGTGTTTGACAATGTTTCCATGAATGTCCAGAGGCACAGGAAGGAAGTCCTAGTGTCCTATGTGTTTCTTTTCAGGGCGCTGTTGGCCCTGAGCTCATTTTTATGGACGACAATGCACGACCACATAGGGCTCTCATGGTTGATGAGTATCTGGAAAGCGAGGATATTCAACAAATGGATTGGCCTGCCAAATCCCCTGCCCTGAATCCTATTGAAAATGCTTGGGATGCTCTTGGGAGAGCTATTGCGAAGCGCCAACCTCCCCCCAGAGCCATTCTGGAGTTAAAAATTACTCTGGTGGAAGATTGGGAGGGTCTTCTACAAATCCTCCTTAACTCCCTTATTAACAGCATGCATACTCGTTGTGGATGCTGTCTGTCTGTCAGGGGTGACAATACACCATACTAGAGGCCACACACACTGTACAAGCCTCACTTTTATTGTCATCTTTTATCCTTAAGTTCAGACTACATTGTATTTATTGGCAATAGGTCTTGTCAGTGAATGGCACTTTCATTTTTGTTTTGCATACTTTATTATCATGGAATGAGCCATATCCATACCAAATTTCATTTATTTATATTCAGTATTTTTTGAGATATTTGGAAAAATGTCTTCCATCTCTTAATTTTGTCCAGCAATGCACTTCTAAAAAATAAAATTGTAAGTACAATATTTTGATTGTTGGCAGACTTTTAAAAAAAGTTTAACACAACTGTGAATTTTCAAAATTATTTATCAATATTATAAATATTTGTAATAATTTGAATGCTTAAACTGAGACAAATTTATTGTTGCTAATATAGAGACGCTGTTTTACGGATGGATAGTGAATTTTAAAATGACATTTCGAGTTTCGATTAAATTTCTCCCTTTATATTTGTGAATTGTGATGGGCGTTTGCTTAATTGCACGTAATTTTCTGCTATTTAATCCCAATCTGCTGACATATATTAGAATAGTTTAAAAACTTCTGCAATTTAGTTGTCAAGGCTCAAAATTATACGGAGTGATTTGTCTTATATGTTTAAAATAAGTAAAATGATTAATGTTAATAGATTTGTTATAGATGTTAGATAGATGTTACAGGTGTACAATGTTTATAGATTAGTTATACAAGTTATTAAGTAGTTTTGCAAGATTTAAACTGGTTATACAAGAAATAATCCTGTATGTTTCATAAAAAAAACTGGTAGTAAAACCATAATACTTGTGTTTGCAAGGAATGACACTGGTGTACAAATAATTTGTTGAATTTATACAAATACTTGATCTTGCCTAATACGGGTAGGAAGATTTCAAAGCTGAAATTAGTTTTGCTTCTAAAACTACAGTTTTTTTAATGACATTTTTAGTCAATTTTTTTGTCGAAATGTACTAGTTTAAAAGCGTCCTATATAATAAGGGATAACGTAAATGTTACGACAAACTTCTAGGGCAGTTAGGGGACATTCTCATCAAAATTGGAATTGCTCAGAAACCCTTTCCCGGAAATGTCGTCTTGGTGTTTCGTATTATGACCTGTTCAGAAACATAGTAATAAGAAAGCAACCCTAGAAGCATATCAGGACTTTTCCTGGCATAGGTTCCTATGCAGCTGTATTCCTAAAGATATTCCCTTATTCCTCTGGAAATTAGCCGTAGCAAAATTTGAAATCAGGGATACGAAAGTATCTAAGATCTTTTAAAAATCTCATGCAACAAAAAAATTGTACCCCAGTGTAATAATTCGTGATTAAATTAGCAAGTTTCAGAATTAATTATTCCCATTGCCTCCCAGACGAATGCATGGAAATCTCCTCAAAGAGAAGCCCTTGCATAACCTAATCTCTCGTACTACTGATGATCATGATAAGTGAGCAATAATTTAACAATTGATTATTAGTCATAGCTATAAACATTATGTACATCAGTACAAAATGCATTTACCTGTATTGACGAAGGTATATCGGCACTTTCCACTTGTGTTGTCGTAGCTAATATTCTTCCAAAATCACTGTATACATCATTATCGAATTCTGAAAATTCAAATAAGGTTTTCAACTCTTTGTCGCACGATTTATGTTCAACATATTTTCCATACTTTTTTATTGTTTTGTATTAATTTAGGTCAAAATAAGGGGAAAATATTATATTCAGCATTTTAATAGTGTATTTTTCTGAAATACAGCATGAATCATAGGTGTCTTTTTTTTAACGTCCACTCAATTCCAACACCACTCACATCCAAACCAGTTTTCGAATAAATTTACTAAAACGTGCTATATGTGTAACAGTTTTACATTCAGTTTTTTTTTTTCCGTCTTACTTTCAATCTGGAATGAAGCAAGTCCGTTTATGTTTGTGTTCCTGGTCTGTAAACTGGGTGTTTGAGGCCGCTTGCGTCATTATTACTACCGATTTCTAACGTTGTAGTGAGAGTCATTGTAATAGTCGGAATGGAATTCTTTTCAGGGATGTTTCCCAAACGGTCACCAATAGCCCAATGTGAAGCTCTAGTGTGGGGTAAATGAAGTACTTAGCCTTAAAGTAGAATTTTAATTTTATATTGTTATTACCTTATAATTTTATCACGGTACGTATATAATTGCATAATCATAACATAATAATAAACTCATAATCAAGTTCCTCTTTCAACAAGCTCATAACTCTTTTTTTTCTCCGCTCTGTTTACTCCATTTGCTTTTCCAACACCTCATCAAACTAAAATATTGGGTAACACGTGAGTAGTTAAAGGGCACCTAGTGGCCTCAGGAACCCAGTTTAGTTTTGTTTACCACTGTAGTATTTTCAGCTCAATTATTAACCTAATGAATTAAATGCGCACGTTTAAATGTCCACTCTTTTTCATGAAAATATTTTTTTTCTCATACTTACAAAATAAAAATTGGGCTGATTAACGATCAACTATATACAGTAGAATCCCGATAATCCGAGCCCCGGTTATCCCTGTTTCCGCTTTAACCGAGCTATCAAATATTTTAAGGATTTTTTTTTTCTAGTTTATTTTTTATTTTCAAAAATACCGCCGAAAAATAAATCTGAATTTTATCTTCCAAACACTCGGGAAAACAAAATCTAACAACTTGATCCCATGAAATGATCGTTAATATCGTCAATAATGAAAATGAACCTAGGGAAGATGATGAAGACAGTGACGATGAAAATCAACATATTAAAATCTCTCACACAGATGAACTTAAAGCTGTCGAAAATGCTTCTGAATACATAGAACAACAAAAAGAGGCGACACCAGCCTTCCTGTTATCCCTAAAAAATGGCGAAACATCGCTGCAGAAAAGCACCAAAGTTATGTAAAACAAAAAACGATTAAGGACTTTTTTTAAGTAAAAACTCTATAGTCTCGCAAAGTATACTTTTCAAGTTTTTTCAAGAAACCTTTTTAATAAGGAATTGTATGTGATATACTCGTATAAATTTTATATTTCTTAAATATATTACATTTATACCAACTCTTTTTCTTTCTTTTTTTATACTCCTCGTTATAACCGAGTTTTTCAGTTATCCGAGTTAGTCTTGGTCCACATTAACTCGGATAATCGGGACTCTACTGTACTAACTTAACACTGTCATCACGGCAATAACGTGCCCTAGTCCCACCCTCTATGCTTAGAGTTCCCCCTGCAGCGCTAAAACTGAAACAAGACGGAAATTCCTTTAAAACATGTTTATTTTACTTTAAAAAACAATAAAGCAATTGTAATCAATAACCATATTCGCTAATATAACAAAAATAGATCAATGAAAATTCCTAGAAGCGTCGTGAAGAAAGTATTAAATAGAAAATGAATATCAACCTTGGGATGAAAAGAATTAGACTTTTGATACAAAGTATGTCAACACCAGAAGAAAATCTCTGTTGATAGTTCTGTTAATTAATACTTTTTTTTAATAAAAAAAGAAATTCACAGACAAACTGTTTCGATAAATATTGTACGTCATAAATTTATTTTAATGCAGGTCCGCCTATTAATGGGCTTCTAAATAATAGACGCGTATAATAGACCCGTATTAATAGGCAAAGTGTCATTTCTAATGTTAATAAAATCAGGGGGGAATACTCACGACCTTGAGCTTTATAGAGTATTGAAAGTACCATGGTGTTCCAGTGAGATGAGTTTTCTGTACAAGTCTCGAGATGTATTGGATACTAAAATATTAAAAAAACATGCATATGAATTATTTATACATTATGGATTCATATAACTGTCAACTACAACACGAAAGAAAATATAAACAAAAATAGACACTTATTAAATGTCAATGGTATAAGAAAAGGCAAAGCTTGGTAGGGCGTTGGGCCCCTGTCCGAGATGTCGTGAGTTCCATTCCCACCGGCCAAAGAGTATCCGTGTAGTAAATGGTGAGTGGTTCACGTTAAATGTGTTGAGTCACAAAGTTCTCCGTGTTCCAATTACAAATCAATAGCTCCGCAGGCACTGAATTAGAGATTGATCATTCTCTACTTTCAAGCCAAAATTAGAATCTGTGACTGTATGAATGTGTCCGCTCTTTAAATGGGCCGTGACGTGTGTGTGGATGAAGTCACATGCTTAGCCATAAATGGCGAAACTGAAAAGCGAAAAATGCACTCTCTGCCCTTAAATTCACTTGGTTGTACTGACATTAGAAACAACAACAACAAGAAAAGACATGCAACGTTATTATTGAATAATTTTAATATAATAAGTTACTTATTTTGGCATACAGTTTTTATAAGTATCTCATTAAAGATTCTTATTAATTCTTCTGCTGTTATTGATGAAATTTTAACATTAAGAAAAGTGGAGATGCCATCACCCCAATTTCTACTTAGGTCAAACTCCGAAGTTGGGGATTGGAGTGCTCGACGAATGCAATTTGTTTTAATTATACAGAAAATATGAAGGAAAAGAGTTTAAAATGACGCGAAAATTAAGTTTTAAAGCTTAGTTTATTGCTGAGTTCAAAAGTTTCATAATCTTCAGATAGTGAAGTAAATAAACCACATTGAAAGTTTAATAAGGGAAAACAACCTAAGCATTATATTATGTCTTCGTGTCGAAATTGAGAGGATTACATTAGAATAGCTGTCAACAACTTTTACATACTATTTCCAAGCGACTTTCTTAGCAGAACTTATCTGAATGATTATTACATTTAATATTATACTAACTCCTCTTCTCTACCTTCCATGAAAGACCATAACCTTCTTTACTTTACAGCTCCATTTCTTCCTATTTTGCCCTTTATCTTCCAATATTTCATTTTTCTTATTTTTTATAAAAATTAGCCATCACTAATATTTATTTGCCAACAAACCATAAATATTATCAATTTTATCACAATTATCATTAATTTTAACCGCACAATTATCACATTTTATCACATTTTCGTTAGCATTACAAAATCTTATTTTTTTATTTCTAAGTATTAGTGATTAAAATCATTTTACAAAATTTTTTAAATTGAATATTAACCCTTTCGCGCCGACTGTCACAAATACGTGACAGTATGAAACCGTATCAACCAGGGTAAAAAGATAAAGCTGATAATCAAATTAATTATTTAGCACAGTTTGTTTGTGGGCGGAGTTATAATTGTTTGATTTATTTAATTCACCGTTACTTTGTTCAAAATAAAACTATTTAGTTATACTTTGAATTAACATTGATTATATGTATGATTAAACTAACAATAATTAAGATAAAAGCAAAGTAAGTCTGTCAAATTAGTAGCGACTACATTTAAGTTACCGTTTTTTATTTAATTACATCCTGATTCTGATTTTGTACGAATGCTTTTCTGAATCACCCGTCCCCAAGGGGTTAAAGCTACTATTGAAAAAAAAATTCAAAGTTCAAAAACAGTTCGCAGTGATGTATGCGGTATTAAAATTTTGGTTAACTGTAAGACGCATTTTAGTTAACTGTAAGGCACATTTGTTAAAACTAGATGGATTTTACGGAGGAAACATTAAAACTAGGGAAATTGCTATGAAATAAAAAGAATAAATACTTCATACCACTAAAAAGCTAGAAAAAGATTTTAAAAGAGCGTCAAATGTTTCCTGTGCAGTCTTGCATTTCAGGTAAGGAAAGTCGTAATTTTCAACCTGTTTTCTTGTATTTTCAGCAGCAGCATTATAATAAAATAGGTCCTAAAAATATGAACGAGAAAAAAAAATAGTAAAGTATCAGGTGGTATACCATGCATAAAGAGAATTTTATAAAAGTTTTTAAATATAAGTTTTTCAAAGGTGATCAATTATTATTGAATTGCTCATTAATGTTTCCAGATGATGCTCATTAATGTTAATGTTGCCTCAAACCCTTCATATATTTTCATCTAACATATTTTATCTAGAGTCTGACTAACATAATGAATAATTCTGCACAATGAATACATAAGTTACACTATCACATTTCCAGATAAGTTTTTTTTTTCCAAATTTCTTTTAGTCAACAGCTCTATTCCCAGAAACGTCTTTTTCCTTGAATGAGAAAAAGGCTTTCCTGAACATTTTATAACCCACCTATTGTTTAGCAAATCGGCAGAACAGGAAGAATGTTTTTCATCAATATATTTATTTTATCTAGTTTGTGACTAACATAATGCATAACATAACATAACATAATGAATAATTCTACTTCCAGCAATCCCAGAAACGTCTTTTTTCCCTACTTGGAAACTTTTTAACCCACCTACAGTTTAGAAAAATGGGCAAATCTGGGAGAATATTTATCATCAATATACTACGAGGGTTGCTATTTATATTTCTGGCCTAATAATGAGACAATCAAATATGTAGGATTGAAATTGATTTTATTGTTTTTCAAAATATTCTCCATGATGATCAATACACTTTTGCATGCGTTTGAACCAATTTTCAAAGCACTTTTTCCAGTCCGATTGAGGTAACTCCAAAACATGCGTTTTGAATGCATCAACCGCTTCTTCGGGGGTCGAAAATCGTTGTCCACGTAATTTATTTTTGATGTGTGGGAATAAGAAGAAGTCATTGGGTGCCAAATCAGGGCTGTACGGCGGATGACCCATCAGTTCGATCTTTCGCTCCGTCAGAAATGCCTTTGTTTGAGTCGATGTGTGAGAGCTCGCATTGTCATGATGAAGAATGATTCGCCTGTTCTTCTGCTTTTTTCGAATTTCTCCGATGACTTCTGGCAAACAAATGGTCGTGTACCATTCAGAATTGACCGTCCTGCGTTGCTCTAACGCCACTGTTGCCACATGACCGTTAATGCCGAAGAAACAGGCAATCATTTGTTTCGATGTGCTTCTTCCTCGAACAACTTTTGTTGGTTTTGCCTCGTCTTGGAAGACCCATACAGTTGATTGCTGTTTTGTTTCCGGCTCATATGCATAGATCCATGATTCGTCACCTGTGTAGATGTTATACACAGCCTTTGATGTACCTTGAACGTATTTTTCCAACATTTCCTTGCACCAATCGACACGAGCCTTTTTTTGAGCGTTTGTCAGATTATGCGGGATCCAACGCGAACAAATTTTTTTTACGCTCAAATGTTCATGCAATATTTTATTGATGCTAGTCATACTAATGTCCAAAGACGCCTCTATCTCACGGTATGTCACATGACGATCTTGCTTTATCAGTTCACGCACAGCATCGATCTTTTCTGGCACAACAACGGATTTTGGACGACCTGCACGGGATTCGTCCTGGATCGAACATCGACCACGATTAAATTCGTTATACCAATTTTTTACAGTGCTGTAGGATGGCGCTTTATCGCTGAATAAAGAATTAAGTTCATCGAAGCACTCTTGTCTTGACAATCCACGTCGAAAGTTATGAAAAATAATGGCACGAAAATGTTCACGATTCAATTCCATTTTTTGAAAGAGAAGAACTTTTCAATTTACTGTCAACAACACAAATGAAGCTATAATGGTAAATCGTCTGCTGAATTTATGTTTAAAAATATCAAACTTTCGATTAAAATCGTCTGCGGTCGCCTAGCAACACTTACTGTTGCCAAGGCCAGAAATATAAATAGCAACCCTCGTATTTAGCTATGTAATAATATGGAGAAAAAAAAGGGTTTCGCTGTGTGGAAAAGACTGCAGGTTAAAAAAAAAAAAAGACGTGCAGAAACGTCAATGCGTTAAAAGGTGGGCTGTCATTATATTGCTTCAAACAATACACAGATTTTCCTCCTATGTTATATATTTTATCTAGTTTGTGACTAACATAATGAATAACATAATGAACAATTCTACACAATGAATACATAAATTACACAATCACATTTCCATATAAGCCTTTTTGTTTTAAATTTCTGTTAGTCAACAGCTCCATTCCCAGAAACATCTTTTTTCCCTAATTGGGAAACAGAGTTTCCTGAACGTTTTTCAAAACGTGAGTTGTCATGATACTGCCTCAAACATTACACATATTTTCAGTTTACGTTATATATGTTATCTACTTTATGACTAACATAATCAATAATTCAATACTATGAGTAACATAGTTTTTCACTGTTATGAAATACAAGTGTTGTATAAAAATATGGAAACTTTCTGTAAATAATATTTCTTTTGGCATCGAATCTTCCTTTTTTTTAGGAAATTAATATCGTTATTTTTAATACCACCATAACTTTAAAAGCAATGATAAAAGACTTTTTAGGTGCAGTACCATCAATGAGTCAATATAATGGTTATCATTATATTGTCTCAAATAAATAAATTAATTTTTAATAAATATCGCTATTATAAAATATCGTTACCTTTATTTTAAATAGATATCGTTATCTCATAGAATGATTATCAAAACTTCAAGTATTAAATCAAAGATATCTTACAAACTTGCTACGCTTATTTATTAATGGTCCGAATTTTGCATGGGTTGAAAGACATTCTTTTTCAAACTGTCAAGCACATCTTTCAAATTGGGCCAACAGTTTCGCGAAGAAAAATCTCCCAAAACATTTGTTGCAAAAAAAAAAAATCTTTACATTGTGTTAGTAAAGAAGTGTTTCTATTATTTTGATCAATCCATGTACATATATGAAACAGTGGTGGCTCTGTGAATAGAGCACTCTCTTCCTTATTAAGTGACCCAGGATCCCCAGCGATAGCTGATCAGTACGAATTCCGTTTCCACCTTGCACCGAACATAGTGCTGACGTAAAATATCCTCAGTGGCAGTTGAATCATGAACTGGACTCCGCTTTCCCATCAGCTGACCGTGGGTGGTTTTCGTGGTTTTCCTGAACATGAAACACAAATCTGGGTTAGTTCATTCCAAAAGTCTTTCATTAAGGTAAATTTCTTCCAGTGCTTGATTTAAGAGTTCCCTTGTCTTCTGGATTGGGTTCAAAATTACAAAATTACAGTAACTCAAATATTGGTCCAGCTGTTCAACGACGGTTATAAAATAAAATAAAACCCCGGTATATGCATCATTACAAAGTAATAATGATATTATGAAATGTATTAATGTAGTTATGCATTAATGCATAAAGACATTCCTCATAAACACATTAATATACGTTACAGATTTATATGTCAATGAATTTATATATTAATGTATAATAATAACATATTTGGTCACTACCTTTACAAATTTTAAGGTACTTCGTATTGTAGTCTTTGGAGCATCAGGTACTTTCAATTTTGTGACTTCTATTAAGTCTGGATCATCCAAAATTCTTCCAAACATGCTGATACTGAATCCTTTAGAAAATAATGTATCGTGTCCATACCTAGCAATTAGCTGGAATTAAGTAAAACATCTGCAATAAGTTGTTTCATATAAATTCTGCAAGAACTTATTAGTTAATTAACAGCATCCTGCAACAATTGAATGTTAAAATCTCAAATTATTTGGTTTTATCTGAAGAGTAGACACCCGCTTCTGTACCTGGTGAGTCTATTTTTTAAAAATATTTTTAATGAAGTAACGTGCTGCCTAACATTGACATTGATCTTTCTTGCAACAAGCAGTGGGGACTCCTATTTGTGATTGGGTACTTTCAGTTCAAAAAGTAGAAGATCACGGATACCCACACGTGATCTATGACGTCAGCGAAAAGTGATCGTTTATAAGCAAACTGGCATGTTAAAGTTAAACAAAGTTTCTCCACATAAGTTAGAATGTATATAACGTGAAGTTAATTAAATACAGCACTTCATCGCACATGGGATTTATTGAAATGTAATCCTTTTTCCTTTACGTCTATTACTTAAATTTTATTGAAATTTTTTTGGTTTTTTTATTATTTTTTAATGTATTATTTTAGTTTAATGTATTTAATTTAATTTTATTTTAATGTATTTAATTTTATTTTTTTTAATGTATTTAATTTAATTTAATTTTAATGTATTTAATTTAATTTTGTTTTAATGTATTTAATATAATTTTAATTTTATTTTATTTTAATGTATTGTTTTTTCAATGCATTTTATTGTTTTGTCGTGATAGAATTTTGCTTTGCGTGCCAAGTAACTTCTAAGCATAATTAGTTTATATATAATCTACATGGTTTCATTCAAGTCTTTATGTTAAGTGAGAAGTAGTAAAATAATTGAAATCTTATAAATAGAATGTATCACTTAAGATAACAGATACATGACGGGCTTGTCTTCCTCAAAATAGAATAGAAAAGACACCATTTGTGTTTCTTGCAACAATTATATTACAATAATAATAGTAGGAATATCTCGGTACAGTTATTATTATTGTTTCAATTGTTAGCACTCTTGCTTCTTTGTTTATTTTTTTATATAGATCAATTAAGCAAAATTCTAATCTTAAAATTCCAATATCTTAGGAAATTCATTAATTTAAAAATAATAGAATACAAAAAGAAAATGAATTTTTTAAACTAATTTACTTTAGAAAATACCTTGAAATTTGAAATTTTCGAACAAGTCTAATAATAGTATACAATATTTCTCTATCATACCCACATCATAAAAGCAGGTATCATAAAAATTATCATGAAAATAGACTGATTAATTGAAAAAAAATATTATTTTGATAAGTATTTTGTTTAACTCGGTGAATATTAAGTCATAGTTTAATTATTCTCATTTAGGCTGTGTTTAATTGAATAAAAACAAAAATATCAATAAGAAATTACCTCAGGAACAGGCATAACAATTTGGTTGTAAAATTGCTGTAAAATTATCGGATAATAAAAACTTTTAGCCCAGGCTGCCGCTTGTTCATCTATTAATCCTTGTTTCTAAAATAAAATAAAAGCAATGTCGATAAAAAACTCTTTGACAACCGAATTAGTTTTAATGTTTAGATAATTTGGGTGTTATTAACAGAATATAAAGTATTTACTTAAATAATGCTCGAGAAATAATATGACGCAAAATGTAAAATTAACATTAAGAGGTCCAAACTTTGGATTTTCCTTTGCACTCCAATATCACCTCTAAAACCGATGTCACCTCTAAAACTTGAAATTTTTATATTTTAATAATTACTAATATTTATATTACTAATTTAATATAATTTTATATTTTAATAATTAATTTTAATAATTAACAATTATATTTTAATAGAATTATTAACAATTAATTAACAATTATATTTTAATTGAAATTTTTATACATAGATAATTAATAATAAGTAACCACTAAGGAAATTCAGAAATTATATAAAATAAATCTGTAATTTAAATGAATTAGTGTTTGCGTTACTAGTTCAAACAGTATATTAAACTACTCAGATAGAAAAAGGCTTTAAAAAACACATTTATTAACTTATTTCTTTTTCATAAGCATTATAATAATATAGAGAATAAGAATTTTCAGTATGGAATCTCTGTCTTCACTTATGTTACCATGAATTTCCCTTGTTTCACAAAAAGACGTATAACCATTGAACATGAAATTAAATTTATTAATTAGAGAATATATGATGTACAATTAATCTAACATTTTTTTTACATAAAAGTGATACATTTTACTTACGATATAAGCAACCATGTAATATTTGCATAATAATTCTACCCCTAAGGGTGATGTTGCACCTGGCATAACTTCTCTGGAAATAAATTAAATATTCATCCATTTTGGAAATGTGACGATATTTGTGTTAGCTATTATAAAAAAATAAGTATATATATATATATATATATATATATATATATATTCATTGAGACTAAAATTTGGAAACATTTTCATTAGTTTTTATATAAAGAAAGAAAACTATTAAAAGAATCGTTAAAGAACTTCCAAATTAGTTTATATTCTTTATTATTAATAATTAGCAATTTTTTAAGGAAAATTCCTTTTTCTTTACATTTTAATGCCAATTATTTAATGGTCATTACTTTAATTGATGATAGTAGGAGCATTTTTACGAATTACATTTTGTTTTTCTACAGACACGGACACGAAGATGATTACTAGACAATTCATGAATAATCCAGCAATTGATTTGCTGCGCTAAATTTACCCCAGTAAAAAAAAAAAATTATTTTATAAATCACTCGTCCCTGAAATATTCCAAATTAATTCATTACAATGAATAATATCCTGAAATAGATAATTTCATTCAAAAATAACTTGGTCCTTAATCCTTTCAAATCATTTCAATCCTAAATCTATCAAATCATTTCAATCCTAAATCTATCAAATCATTAAAAACATAAAACGAGCGATATCTCAATATAAAAAGTTTTGTTTTAAAATCTCTAAAACCTTTCGAATCACTTAAAAATTACAATGAGTGATTACGTGACATAAAAAGTTGTAGTTTAAAAAAGTTCCCAAAATCTTTCGAGACCCATAAAAATTAAAACCAATGGTACCCCGACATATAAAGCTTTAATTTAAAATAAATCGTCCATAATTGTCATAAAGTCCTTCGAATCAGTTAAAAATTAGAATGAAATATATTCGGACATGAGTTTTTATTTCAAAATCAATGGTCCTTAAAATCTTCTGAAATACTTAAAAATTCAAAAGTATACCTTCTCTATAAGTTAAAAATAAAATTTGTCTGTTTTGAATATTTAAAGTCTTACAATTTAACAAAATGCTTACCCCACATTTGCTACAGTGAAGTAATCTCTTTCACTTCTCAGAATACAATCAAATTCATGCTTTAACTCAAATTCAGTAAGCGATCCTCCACTTGTGACTGGTCGACTCTAAAAATAAATAAACGAAATTCGAACTTATTATTTTTTTATATTTTCAATCGGGTGTGCAGTTTCACTATCTAGCTCCCATCAAAATGAGGGGGTGACGTTTCGCCCTCAGATTTATCGTGCCCGTGATTTTTCCTGCCTGGAGTATTCAAAAGTAATGCATCAAGAAATTTAAACTATTTATCTCTTGTTTCCAGAATCTTGTTTATCTCTTAATTTATACACCAGGTGGCAGCTCCAAACTATTATTAATGTATTCATAGAATACAGCTCTTATGACCGGGTTGTTCAAAAGTATGTTACGTCTCCCGCATTTTAGAAGAGTTACATTTTTGGCGTATGAAATGATATCAAAATTAAATTCATTGTGGTAACATTTTTAATTTTAAAAATTTGAATTAAAAAGAATTTTGAACACAACTAACAAAAAAAAAACATATATGCTGAAAACTTAATAAATATTTCATAAAGTAAAATTTCAAAAAATTTCTTTACTCAAAGTACAGATTTTGGCTACTATGAATGAATAACTCACCTGGAGAAGATATATTTTATTGTTTAATAAACCCCATTCAATGTCTCTGGATGAGTGGTAAAATTGCTCCACCTGAATCAAGAATAAAAAATTTAAAAAAAAAAAAACAGTTTAAAATTACATATATACAGTTTAAAATTACATAAAGCTGTTTTTCGAAGGCTCTGTCATAATATGAAACGATGTTTTTCTGCGAAAAATATGCTAGTTTTACAGCATGATGGTGCTGTGAGTTCGCAACAGTTACTCATGACGGTTAGGTCAATTTCATCCTTTCTAAAACCAGCGGTGTCTACGCTTATTTTGAAAATGGTGCACAGCGTCAGTACGGAGAAAAGCCAAGGTTTTATGAAAATGAAGAGCTTTTGTGGACTAAATTTTTATTGTTTATGTTATGTACTTACTCTAATGCTACCCTACCAGGGCTCATAAAAATTTGCAAAACTGAAAATACGGTAGTGGTTTTGATAATTTTTGACTAGGTGGAAAAATATCACCAAATTGACGGTTTTTAAAAAGTATAATAACTTTTAAAATATTTAAGTTGTCTATTCTAAAGCCCAGATAATTCTTCACGGCAGGATTATATAGGTAGTTTAAATATCACAGCATGATGATGATAATGATTATCGACGATCTGTTTGAGAGCTTTTCGCAATTTGCAGCTTATAGCTCGCTTATGTCCAAGGTAGCAGAGATAAGGGGATGATTATAGTATGCGGATAGATTTTAGGTAATGCATAAGAAATTGCAGTTTGCGTTTATCCGTTGTGTCCATAAGGTATGAAAACGACAATGCCCCAGGTTCAATCTGTATTTTTAGAGTGGTGCGCTGTTGATCAAAGAGAGGGCATTCTAGAATAGTGTGATCAATATCGGAGATGGAACCGCAGTTGCATTTATTGTCTGGAGCGAGTCCAAAACGGAATAACTTTGCTTTAGTTGAATAGGATCTAGTGCGGGGAAGAGAACGTAACGTCTTGGTGCCTGCTGAAGAGGGATAGAAGTTCGTTTTTATTTTGGCTGAGATGAAGAAAATCAATGAAGTATTTGCTATTCTTGAAGATTGATTGCCTGGATAGCTGGTGGATTCGCTTAATTGATTGATAAGTATCTTCTATGGTAAATCTATCATAAATTCTCGGTCTGGAGAGCGCTGCTTTTGCCAGCTCGTCAGCGATTTCACTGCCGAGAATCCCGGAGTGGCCAGGGACCCATGCTATATCTACAGATTGGCATGCGGATGGAAGCGCTTCCATCGAGACTATGGTTTGGTGTATGATTCCTTGTGAAGAGTCTGTAACAGAATTTAGAGCAGTCAAAACGGAGAGTGAGTCTATAAAAATTATAATTCGCGAACTTGTAGGGCATTTTTGAAGTGCTAATAATATAGCTATTCCATCAGCTGTGAAGACCGAGCAAATGGATGGATCGGATCCAGAAATGGCTGACCCGGAGCGGGAGTTGTATATTGCCTCTCCTGCCTTGTCTGATGTTCGGGAGGCATCTGTATAGATCAGAGTGTGATGTGGCCAATTATTGCGGACAAAGTCTCAGAATATGGTGGGTATTAAGTTCGGTGGTAGATTCTTGTTTTGATAGGGGAGTCTTGATTTGATTTTTCGGAGTTCGATGGTGCATTTTAATCATATGATTAATGGTTATGCCGTGATCGTTTAGGCAGTTTCTTGCTTGTATGGGGAGCGCTGATCTCTTGTGGGTATTCGGAATAAGCAGATTCTGGTATGTTATTGCCCTCAGTGACTGATAATGGATTTGTCTGACATAAAACAGCATGGAGATCATGTTATGGCTTTCTTGGAGATTCGGACAGCCTGCCTCCCGGTAAAGTAGCTGTAGTGGAGTCTACTTCGGGAGGCCCGTAGCTGTCCGCAAGGCAGCACGGCACGCCGTGTTGAGTATCTTGCGTTCACTTTTGCTGGCGAGGGAGTGCAGATGACAGCCGAAATCAAGCGTAGGCGTAATGTATGACTAGACAATTCGGAGTAAGTGGAAGGAGCGTGCTCCCCAGGAGTTTCTTGATATACATTTTAGAATGTTAAGCTTTTTTAGTGTGGAAATTCTTTTCTCCTGAAAATGATGGCGGTAGCTGAGGTTAGATGAAAAGTAAACCCGTAGAATGCGGATATGTGGCGTCCATATGATGGTTTCTCCCTGGAAGTGCTGGGTGGGACGGGATTCGATGACTTTATAGGAGAAATCTATTGCTCCAAGGACCAAGATTTGTTAAATAAGGACAGCAGAGTGTTGAGGGATTCGTCATCGAGCTTCTTTAACATACAGGTTGAGATTCTGTCCGGACCTGGTGTAGTTGATTTGGCAAAGGATATGACTGTTTGGAGTTCCACGAGTTGAAAAGGCTCTGATAGAGGTCTGATTCGCTGGAGTCGTACGGTATGTACATAACGATTGGTTCTCTGGCGTAAAACTGACCAAATATTTTGACCTGTTGATTTACGTCAAAGATGTGCTGATTTCCCCGCAACAGGAAAAGATGGGAGTCAGACACATGAGATTGTGTGCGTTGACGATTTTTAAGTAACCTAAAGATGTTTGGGGAAGAGCCTAAGGAGTAACAAAGTTGAGAGCAGTATTTTTTGGATTCCTTTTTAATTGTGAGTCGGAGGTGAGCGACATAGCATAGCTTCAAGTGTAAGGCACTTAAACTATGTTTTTTTTGGCGACAGAGCTTCAGAAAACAGCACTATTTAAATAAAATGTAAAATGATAAAACAATCACATGGCATATTTGTGTAACTTACTCTGATAGCTAATTTTCCAAGATATATTGCTTTTTCTTCGTTTATACAAGCACCCGATTTAGAGTCATCCAGTAAATCTTCAACCTCTGTTCCTCCAGACTCTGAAAATTATAAAAATAGTTTTAAACGTTCGATATTTTCTTTTAAATTTTATAACCGGTGCTGAACAGCCGGCATAATCCTCAGTTTACGACTACCAATGTTCAACTCCGTAGCCTAGTAATATTGAACACAGCTCAGAAGACAAGGTGACTCCTGAATAAAGCGTTGGGACAAGCTAGCCTGCAGCGGAGTTCTTCATGATGAAACTAAACCGAATTTGTGTTACACAGAGAGTAAAACCACAAAAGAATCTCACGGTTAGCCGAGGAGATTCTAACTCGGCGAACCAGGAGTAGAATTTGTATCAAGCAGCTACCGTTGAGATTCTAACCTGGATCACCTCATTGAGAAGTGAACCCTCTGTTCCCTGAGCCGATGCTGCTCTGATGTAAGGCCAGTTCCCCGACCCCTACACAGTCCGGTCTGCTGATAGAGAAATATTATTGGGAGTTAAAAGTCTTATCGGTGCATAACGAGTGAAAACTTTTGCATCTCTAGCTTATTTCTGCTGCTAACAGTCGAAACACGAATTACACAAAAGCGAAGAAACAATTCACTTAGAAGACTTCTGTCTCAGTTACTTACAATGATGAAATTGTGATCTACTATTTAAACAAAACCTTAAAAAAAGTAACATGTTTGCTTATAAATGCAAATAGGGTCTGAATTATTCCTACCAAATTTGTTTAGTGAGGAGTTTTTTTTTTCTCTTTTTGAAAAAAATATCCGGCCACACATGTTGCTTCTTAGTATAAAGCCCCGGTCTACAATGGGTTAAAATAAACTCATCATGAATTTAAAAAAACAAAAATGACAGCTAAAATAAGAAAACAACTTTGATTGTATCCTTATAAATTAACACTATGCTAGATATAGAATAACCATGTTCCCACGGCAGGCAGAGAATAAATTGAACATAAAGAAATTTGTTTTAAATCTGTTAATGCAAAAATTAAATAATGTATCATAGATAAGTATTGAAATTTGTTTTTTTTATTCAAGAATTTTACCTTTTAAAACAATTTTTTGGTGTTTGGATCCAACATTTACAGATTTGATTTTCAGTTCATTATTATCAAATCTTTCAAGCATAATTGTGTCCGGTTCAACAGATCCAGATACAACAGTCTAAAAAAGAAATCCATGTTTAAAATTGTCATTGCGAAATTCAGAAAGTTTTATGATGAAATTACAACAGTAAATAACATTGCTAGAAATTACTTATCTACTACATTAATAAGGTTTCGTTCGTCAAATTTGCATCCTATTGTAGTTTTATGGTACCAATTTTACGATTCATAGTTCTGAAATGATTAAGGATTTATCTCCGAAAGTTTTAAAAAACCGGTAGCAAATGAAATAGTAAAAGTTGTAGAACAGAAATAATTACATTACTTATTTTTTAGAGTTACCACGAGACAACTGTAATAAGGTTACGTTTCATACGGGATCCAAATATATATATATATATATATATCGCACTTTTTTTTTGTCAAATTTTTGTTTAAACTTGTAATCCATATGATTATAAATCCCGATATGAGGCTTTTAAATCACGTGAATATGAAACTCTACATCGAATT